ACGGGGCCTATAGCAAATTTAAAAACAAAACAAAACAAAACAAAAAAACTCTTCCTGGCCTTATCTAGGCCTTTAAGTTACAAATAAAGTTAGAATAGGTTATGGGTCTTGACAGAAGGCAGGGAGGTTAGTCAGTTTGATGGAAGTCACTGACCGGGTTTTACATCTGGCTGGGCCTGGGAAAATGCCTAGCCCAGGGCTTTGTCCACAAGCCAGGGATGACTTGCTCGGTTGTCAGAGAGCCACACGCGTATAAATAGGGTCATGATGACAGAGTGTGCATGGGGCCTGGCAGCCCAGAGCTCTGAGCACCCCTGCAAGTTTTGGGGGATGTCCAGATAAGGAGGCCAAACTTGCCTCCCCAGATACTGTGGCCTCACAGGGAAATGAGCCAGATGCAGGAAGAAGCCCAATGGAAAGTTGGAAAGAAGTGCCACCATGATGTCGTGGAGAGAGTTGGGGCAAGAATGAGTACTGGGTACCTCTCCCAGCTACCACTCACCCGCCATGTGATTTTAGACAAGTCCCTTCACTACCCTGAGCCTTCCTCACCCGTGAACATTACAACTCTTAAAAGTAACAGTTCTACGGACCAGCAGATGGCATTATGGCTATGTCGCTGGACTCTCATGTATTCAACTGCAGTTCGAGTCCCAGACCTGGTGGCTTATGCGTGCGTGCCCAAGATCCCGAGAGGAGAATGGAGGAGAAGGGATTGCAGCATGGCCATCCCCCCGGGAGGTGATTTCTCTCTTTCTGTCTCTCTGTCTTTCTGGTGAGCATATGCGCCCTATAGCAAAAACCTCTCCAAAAAAAAAAAGAAAGAAAAAGTAACAGTTCTATAACACTACAGATAAAAGTGAATTTATGTAGTAATGAAATAATAAAATACATTCTGGAATGGAGGAGAAGGGATTGCAGCATGGCCATCCCCCCGGGAGGTGATTTCTCTCTTTCTGTCTCTCTGTCTTTCTGGTGAGCATATGCGCCCTATAGCAAAAACCTCTCCAAAAAAAAAAAGAAAGAAAAAGTAACAGTTCTATAACACTACAGATAAAAGTGAATTTATGTAGTAATGAAATAATAAAATACATTCTGGGGAGGGGACTAGCAGGTGGCATGGTGGTTAAGGTGCTGGACACTCCCACATGACTGACAGGGTTCGAGTCCTGAATCTGGTGGCTTGCTTTCTCACTTCCTCTCTCTCTCACTCCCACCCTCTGGTCAAACTAACAAAAAAAAAAAAAAAAAAAAAAAAGAACGAATAAGTAAAATAAAAAATTATTAAAAAAAAAATTCTGGGGGCCGGCAGGTGCCGTTGTGGTTAAAGATGTTGGATTGCTACATGGTCAACCACCGTTCAAGTCCTGGACCTTGCGGCTTGCATTCTCTCTCTCTTACCCTCACTCTGTCCCTATCTGGTCAAATTGAAATAGATGAATAAATAAATAAAGTTAAATAAAATAATTCTTTTTTTAGTATTATTTATTTAATGTTACTGATTTATTTTATTTTACTTTGACCAGAGAGAGATACATGCAGAGAGAGAGAAAGAGGGGAAGTGAGAAAGCAAGCCACCAGGTTCGGGACTTGAACCATGGTTGGCCATGTAGGAGTGTCCAGTGTCTTAATCACCATACCACTTGCTGGTCCCCAATAAAATAATTCTTTTTTTTTTTTTTTTTTTTTTTTTTTTTTTTCAT